AGTACTATAAATATATAGTTATATCCGCTAGGTGGTGATGTGTCTTCTGACTAGTACTATAAATATATAGTTATATCCGCTAGGTGGTGATGTGTCTTCTGACTAGTACTATAAATATATAGTTATATCCATTAGGTGGTGAGTGTCTTCTGACTGGTGCTATAAATATATAGTTATATCCGCTAGGTGGTGATGCGTCTTCTGACTAGTACTATAAATATATAGTTATATCCGTTAGGTGGTGAGTGTCTTCTGACTAGTACTATAGATATATAGTTATATCCGTTAGGTGGTGAGTGTCTCCTGACTGGTACTATAAATATATAGTTATATCTGCTAGGTGGTGATGTGTCTTCTGTAGTTTGTAGTCTAGCTTCATTTACTTGTTTTTTATATGCTACAATTTTGTTGTCGGTTTTTTGTCCGAAGATTTGTTTTCAAATATCAAACCGATGAGGTGTGCTATCTTTCCTTTAGATCTTCAAATGAATACTACTTCATGTGTGTGTGCATAAATATAGAGAGAAGAGTATAAATACATATTTTCTATTTGCAGACTTGTCTTGAAAGGAACACTGCCAGAAAACATGTTATATACACGTATATTGATTCAAAATATCATTTCAAGATACCCTTATAACCCCAAGTTCACTCTGTTGGTATTCAATGGTACGCGCCTCGTAATTATTAGTTACCCTCTAGTAATGTTATTTGCCACGATGTTGTTATGTCTAGTAATTGCTGTTATATGATTGGTGTCATTCTACACTTGCAGAAATTCACGAGGAACATGTGCGTATATTAGGATTTTTCACACATGTACGCACTTCAGTTAATAATACCGTGTTAGTTCTGAAACATACACAACACATGTTTTGAACTAATTTAAGCAAACACGATTGAAAACAGCCAGAAATGAATTTTCATCTGCTCGTTTATACAATATTTGCGTCACTATTCAAAGGACGCCAGAAAAACAAATTCAGCTACGCTTGTAATAAACAGAAAATTCTATATTGTTGATGACTCATGCTGAGAAACATTAAACCATTCCAATCAAAGGCAGGAAGTGACACCCACACGTTGCCATGGTAAACACAACAAAATTTGAGCTGAGTACTACATGTAAAACAAAATATCGTAATACATAAACATTAATTACAAGTGTAGGAGAAAATTAATGTGCTTCTACAAGACGGAAGGCCAATTAAGTAAAATATGAAATAGAAGGATAAAAAAATAACACATCCAAAGTTTGAGAATATCAGGATAGCAACTAGCCGGAAAATAAAGAAGTTTAATGCATAGAACATTATGTCGTAAAAACAGATTAAGGAGGCTAAAACTGTATTAAGATACTTCTTAAAGTAATGCATTTCAAAGTTATTATAAAGTGTAAGAATTCAACTTTGATAAAGTTCAATTTTAAAGATTAATTTGCTTAGTTCACTAATTGTATGATTAACTTGGTTCCTGTTCTTGATTAGTAAATGATGTAACTAACGCTTTCATGATGAACTGTATTGGAATCAGCACATCCAAACATCAACTTCAATTGGCACTCTAGGAAACAATCTTGATGTAACTAAGTGTCATGAATATATTTCTACGGTGACTTTAAAATCGTATTTCAATTACTGCTTTGTTCCTGTTGAATGAAAGCTATGAACAAGTAAACTTTGAAACATTAATAATCCAAATCCTACAGAATGTTAGAATTAGCTTCTTCATTATCATCATTTATCAGCTTTTCAAATACGTACGAAATAAAACGAAATGTGAAAGAAACACTGAATTTATAATTACAAGTACTGAATTGTCCACTTGGATGCAGAGCATGTAGTAAAATACAACTCACTCTAAGCACAACTAAAACGAAACTACCTTAATCTAACACGTAGTACGTGATATAACAGTACAGTTCTTATAAGTATCAGAACACTTACCTGTTTCATTAACTTCAATAAATAAACGTTTATGAGGTGAGACAGGGGTCGATCTAAAGAGGGATGCTTGGTGGATAGTCACCACATACGTTCTGATCCATTAGACGTCAAAGGTCACTACAAGAAGACAATATATGTCGTACAAGTGATTTTTCTTTTCAGGCAACATATTTAATACTACGATTTCAAATTAACATTTAGTAGCAATGATAGCATTGAGAATAACAGGGTGGTTTGTCTTCATTGGTATACGTTCACTTCAGTATCAAAAACTGTAAGAACATCTAAAGATCATGACAACAACTGTGTTTGATATCAAATATTACAACGTAAGCCGATCAGGACGAACACCAAACTACAAACATTACATCATGAACTAATCAGTACGAGTACCCAACTATAAACATTACAACGTATGCTGATCAATACGAACACTCGACAACAAATATTACAACATAAGTTGAGTAGTATGAGTACCCAACTACTAACATTACAACGCAAGCTGATCAGTACGCGCACCCAACCACAAATATTACAACGTAAGCTGATCAGTACAAGTACTCAACTACAAACATTACAACGTAAGCTGAGCAGTACGAGCACCAAACAACAAACATTACAACGTAAGCTGAGCAGTACAAGCACCCAACTACAAACATTACAACGTAAGCTGTGCAGTACGAGCACCCAACAACAAATATTACAACGTAAGCTGATCAGTACAAGTACCCAACTACAAAAATGATTTTCAAGTATTATCACTTTTGAAGTCCCTCCGTGAATACAGACTTGTTTTTTCCAAACTTTGACCTGTATTTCCTTAGACTTGGAGTCTGTTTTGAGTAATATTGTCTGACGTTTCCTAGCATTAAACAAAAAAATCCATACGTCCAAATTATCACGATATTCTATGTTTTAAATTGTAAATTCTACATACAGAAACACAATACTAGACCTCAAGTAGGTGAATAATAATAAATATATATTTTTTTGCTTTGCTGTACAAACCAAGTTAATCTGTTTTTTGTTGGTGTTACACACCAGGTTAACCTTTGTTTTGTTACACACCAGGTTAACTTGTGTTTTGTTGTTACAAACCAGGTTAACCTGTTTTTGTTGTTGTTACAGACCAGGTTAACCTGCTTTTTGTTGGTGTTACAGACCAAGTTAATCTGTTTTTTGTTGGTGTTACACACCAGGTTAACTTGTGTTTTGTTGTTACAAACCAGGATAACCTGTTTTTGTTGTTGTTACAGACCATGTTAGCCTGGTTTTTGTTGTTGTTGTTTGCGTCATGATAACACTTTGCAGAACGTTCCAACGGGAGAAAGGGTTGCAGGGCATTAAGGGGGAAAGGTGATGGATGATTGATCCGGATAACACCTCTCTGTCTCTCGTTCTAAATGTTCTTACTACAGAGCACATGAAATTAATTCTTTTAGAATATGCTCTGTTTGAATTTCTCAGATGTGTCAAAATTTTAAGTAAAATGTTGGTAACTACGATAAAAGTTTCATGACTCAGCATTTAACTCCATGTTTTTTATTTATGCTATTGATGCAATGCAATAGTTTTACGACAGATAAAAAAAAGTGATTCAAAGCTCCATCACAAACAGCTGTTGGGTTATGAAAAACGAGTAACAAGTCTTTTCCGAACAACAAAGAATTACGCATCTTATACTACTCTCAGGTGGTCGTTTTTTATCACCACACTAAACTACATGTGTAAAGAATTTGAAGAATATGTAGACTAATGTATTCAGCGGAAGAGCTGTTTAAGATACTAAAAATAAACATGAAGCTCAAGCTATCCTTCTATCTACCATTTGTAACTGCGGTGGATTATACCAGTTCCGCTCCTCATCAGTAACCCTGGGTAAAAACAAGTTCAAGGTTTCTTGTGATGGTGACCTGAATGTTATATGTACGGTTTCGTAGCTGGCTTTTACTCACCATAGTAAACCTATGTGAGTGCTATTCTTGTTTGATGTTGGGTTTGTTTGTTGTTGTTGTTGGTTTTTTTTGGGGGTGGGGGGGTAGCCTGTTCTTAAAATGATTATAATTGCGAAACACTCCATCCTATAAGTCTGGACCACTGCGAAACACTCCATCCTATAAG